AGAAAAGCCAATCAGCTGATCATTGATCAGTTTCGTGATTGAGGTAGCAGCAGCTGCCTCCCCTGTCCCTCATCCACCTGCTGGCCTCCACCACTTTCTAATTTTACTGAATCTGTGGAAGCTCCGCCATAGCCACCACCAAACAATTGAGTTATTTTTACACATCTGCCAGAATCTGGCCAATCCACCACCTTTCATTGTTTACACTGTTACGGGGAAAAAACAGAACAACAAAAAAAATCAGCGCATAAAAACGAAAAATTACCATCGGCCCACCGGACAGATTCCCAGTATGCCCAATGACCAGTCCAGCTATGGGTCCAAGGACAGTCTCATTGAAATGTGAAGGGCTCAGATCATGTTCCCATTGTTCTTTGAGTGTTACTGTGCTTCCTCTCTTCATCTCAGGCACAGAGGCCATAAGTTTCATCATGGACCTAAATTTAGGCTAAAAGTAATGAATGCACTCCACTGTGATTTGGGTATTGAGTGCCTGCAGGTATTGACAGAGTGAAAGGGTCTGAAGGGTCCACATGAACCCTGCAGAAGAACGTTTTTATTAAAAAAAAAAAAACAAAAAAAAACAAACATGTTCGGATAGACTTTTAGTAGCTTTAAAATTAGCACACTGTTGCTGTTTTTTGTTTCAATCTAAGTAGGCTTCAAGTTTTCTAATTGTATCGCTTTTTGTCCAACTTTCACATGTCAGGATCCTCAAGCAACCAAAGAGGCCATGAATGTTGTCCACACCGAAAAACCTATTTTTGCACATGCTCCACAGAACTGGATATGCAATTGTGTCATCTGGGTCAGATAAAATATTTTCTGGTCACTGCCCATTTTTTGCAGACACAAGTGACTACACAGCTGATTGAAATAGCCACTGGGTTTTTTTTTCATGATGGTTATTTGAAAGTATTTATAGACAGTGCATGTTAATGAACATCAGTGTCAGTATGCCAGAGTTAGCCAAAAGTCTACGTGTCACGCTTGACCTGGCAGGTCAGACAAAAACAATAAATAAGAAATTTAACAACAACATCAAACAATTTATAACGATCCAGTTCAGACAACAAATACATAAAATTACATGAAATATCATACTTATAAAGTGTAACTATTTACAATTTTACATATAAAAGATAAAACTATACATGACTAATTATCATGTTTAGCTCTACAATGTGTTTTATGGCTTTGCCAATCACGATGGCAGGAAAATCTGGCTAAACAAAGAAGAAATCTTAATTTGGGATTATCTTAGTCTTGTTTCATTTGTTCACAGAATAATTAAGATTTGTTGAGCTCTGCAAAAGACTCTTCAGTTGAAAATGCAATAAATGCTTCCTGCAAAATCTGAGGCAAAAAAACCTCCAATGAACAAAACAGCAACGTCAAAACACACAAAACATTTTGCAACAAGTTGAAGCCTCTCCTATACACTCACTTAAATTACAGCTGCAGGCTATGCAGCAGAAATAAAAACACGGCAAAAACATGCAGAGACAATCCAAAAAACATGACGTGGCGTTCAAACAAGAAGCAGCTTCTTCATTTGTGAGCCTGAGGGCATTAAAAGGATCAGTGGCCTGTCTGGTTTGGTTTGGTTGGCAAAATGTCAAAATCATGTCATGATGTTGGAATTTCAGATTACAGTGATGTTGACTTTTGTTGTTTTCTTACAACGAATAAAAAAGAAATAATGTTTCTCCTGCAGTCTCCTCTACACCAGACTGACCACGGTGTTTACTTCACTGTAAGGGTGGTAATGACACAGAGCATGAGGCAGCCTAAATAAAGAAAGCATGGAAACCACATGGTTTGAAAAGGCTTAGGCTCAGCGATCAGTCATAGCAACTCAGGACCACAAAAACCAGCAGACAACCAAACGGCCGGCACCATCACAGCCCCTGTATCATGTCACAGATATAGGTCAGCAGTGCTAAAGCATCTGCAAATCTGCAGCTTATCTCTGCCAGTTTTTTAATGCTCTAATCAGACCAAATCCTCTGGAGTGGAATTGACTCTTAAGTGGTTCCACGGTTCCACCGAAAATGGGAGGTGATATTAAGGTATCAGGATGCACATTATATGGTTAGTGTCTCTCACTTTCACACATTTACAGGGGCCACGAGGTTATTCAGGCTCATTAACAAAGAACCTAAAATATTAAAAGAAAAAGACAGAATTTAACTGGGCATGAGTATGAAGAAGTGGGTAAAGGCAAGGCAGGGAAATGGCAGAATGATGTATAAAATGTCTAAGTAAACATTTCCCACAGTTGGAAGTCATTATTAAAATGCCATAGGCTGTCCTTAGCTCTACTGCTTGGCCTCCACTTTGTTTACTAAGGTATAGCTGAGAGCCAACCACGCCTGCAATGGTTGGCTCGTACACTACAGCGTGTGTACGAGCACTTGTTCCAAGAACTGGCCTCACTCTTGAATTTAGACGATTTATTGCATCTGCGGGTATTCATAATTGATGACCCCGCGGGTGCTTAATGTGACACCACATTACGGAAGAGAAAGAGGGCAAGTTTAAAAATAGCCATCATCTCATCCATTATTAAACACAACCCAGAGATTTGATTCAGTATCCATTATGCCACTCCACACACTGGCCTAAGACAGAATTAATAGTCTACTGTGACATAACAGAAATGAAGACTAACACTACATAATGGATTGTTTTATGTAAGTTGAAGAGCTGTATGTACAGCAGCCCATGCCCATCTACCAAACACTTCCTGTGTTTTTCTCAATCCTGTATCCTTGTTGATTAAACCACCAAGCAACCACAGTCCAACACCAGCCAACCTCATTTTTGCTGGACCAGAGTTTTTAACTTAAATTAACAACTGAAAAGATATCTTTTAGGCTTCTGCTAACTATTTTCACTAATCCTATTTTTACCTGTGAAAAATCGTAGAAGGATATTACTAAATTTAGATATATACATGTATGTAGTTATTCATCTTAACTTTTATTTAATATTTCAATTTGCAAAGAGAGAAACAGAAAACAAGATATAAGGGCTTGACAGAAGTCTAAATGATAAGTCAGTTAGCTTAATATAATAAATTAAAGCAAGGGGGAGGTAAAGGTAGTAAACTCAGCCTACCAATATCTTTGAAGCTTAACATTTAAAATATGACAAAAATAAATATGACTTAAATATTAATCTAATCCGTGCTTTAAAAACAAAAGATTATATGGCTTAAGGGGTTATGTGTTGGACAGTCCTTGATTGGATGCACTGTTTTCTGAATCTGACGATGACAAGAATTTATGACATGACAGTCATGCAACAATTTGTGAGCTTTACAGGCACCGGTGGATCACATTACTCTTAAACAGAGCTGTTTTATTTCTCCTTGTTTCCACTCTTTACATAGACATAGTTGCATGTGAAAACCCCACTGCAGTATTTTTAACTATCCTGATGAGCTGGTCAGGAATGATACATTTTTTATTTGTTTGTTTTACTATTACATGTGCCACAGAGCACACAAGTGCAGAATAATCTTCCTTCATACTGTAAATATGAGAGTGGAGAGAGTGGACAGCTTCAAATACCTCGGAATTCACATCACGCAGGACCTGTCATGGTCCTGTCACATCAACACCGTGGTGAAAAAGGCCCGTCAGCGTCTCTACCACCTCAGACGCTTGAGAGACTTCCAACTGCCCTCCAAGGTGCTCAGGAACTTTTACTCGTGCACCATAGAGAGCATCCTGGCGGGAAACATCTTAACCTGGTTCGGGAACAGCACCATGCAGGACAGACGAGCTCTACAGAGGGTTGTGCGGTCAGCTGAGCGCACCATCCGCTCCGAGCTCCCTGACCTGCACTCAATCTACAGCAGGCGGTGCTGGACCAAGGCCAGGAAGATCGTGAAGGACCTCAGCCATCCCAACAACAGACTGTTCTCTCTGTTGAGGTCAGGAAAGCGATTCCGCTCCCTGAAGACCAACACAGAGAGACTGAGGAGGAGCTTCTTCCCGCAGGCGATACAGTCTCTCAATCACACCACCACACAGTACTGACCCACACATACAGTTCTTACACACACACACTGGACATTCTGGACATTGTTTTCACTTCATCACTTAAATCACTTTAAGCATATTTGCACTGCACAAGACATAATGTGGATTGCACAACACTGGACACTACATTCTTCATTTCCAGTTAATACTTGTACAACTGCTGTTATTGTGTATATATTTATTTATATTTCTTCATACATTCTTATATAGTTCTATATTGTGTATTTTGTTGTACAGTTATTTTATTTTCAACTTTAATTTATATATTTTATCTTATTCTTTCCCAATTAAATTTACCCTTCATTCTAATTTGTGTTGTACAGTTATTTCATTTTTAACCTTAATTTATATTTTATTCCTTCCTAGTTAAATTTACCCTTTTTAATTTTTCATATTTATTTCCTATCTTATTCATAGCCTTTTCCTTTTTGGTTTTCTTTAGGTCACGAGCAGTTGTCCAAGCATTTCACTACATATCGTACTGTGTATGACTGTGTACGTGACAAATAACAATTTGAATTTGAATTTGAATTTGAAATAAGACAGGCATATTTTGTTACCTTTGTGTGGCCGTTTGGTCATTGTCTAGTTAAAAGATGAAACTGTGCGGGTCAGATGACAGAATGTGTGTGGATGGGTGTGTTTAGCCTTCATTACGTTAGAGCTGGTGTATATTTCAGTTACCTGGCAACCTCTTCGGGAAAACAGTAGGTCGTGGCGAGTGTAAAGTATATGCACCAGAAATTGGCAGTTTGAACATAATGTTTTTGATACAGTAAAACACGCCATTCTTTAGAAGTACTGCCTTTGAGCAAGGCACTGAACTTTGCACCAAACAAATTCTCCTCTGTAGCAAGAACGAAGCAAACTACTCCAAAGGTACACTGCATGATACACAGTGGGTCAAATATGTTCATTCACTTGCCTTGGTAAGAGCCTTTCTCTTACCATCAACACTGACGTCCTGACAGCCTCGGAGACGCTCTGCCTCAGCTCTGCGGCGGTTCCCGGTTTGTTGAGACCCCGGGTAAACTTCCTCGCCTCCAGTGGCGCAGCAGCCATAGTATAGCCCACCTTTCATCAGACAGACAGGTCCCGCGACGAGCACACGGTGTGCGAGGTTGTTTACAAGCTGTCGCTGCAAAACGTAGATACTCTGCGCTCCGGGATGTCCGACTTGCCTAAGCGCAGAATCGTGCAGTTTTATTCTGTCGTCATGCTTTTCGTAAACTTAACGCTAGCGGACAGTGTAGCCCAGGATACCTGGCGACTGCGTCCCCAGTCAACAGCGACCAGAGAGCAACATCCAAAATCCTGCGGCGTCTCCGGCAGCCGAGGTCCCTTTCGCAAACAGACACGCCTCCTTTAGTCATTAGGACAGAGCTTTTTCAGCCATCATGTGCCTATCTGGCCAAGTTCTGTGACTCCATAGTGTAATTGTTTCCTCATACGATAGTGAAAGCTGCTATCAGGTGGTTCGATTCCAGTGGGAAATACATATGGCCTGTGGACTTGAGTCAGGAAGGAAATTTGTAAAACTACAAAATTAAACACGACGAGCTACCCGCTGTGAAAAGGGAGCCTCGGAAATCAGAGCCCTTGAGTTGAGCTGTGGCCCATATTAACTACCCTTGAAACGGGAAACGTTCTAATGTTTTTCCGTGGTATAGATGATGTGAGGTTTAAGTGTTTTCTGTCTCTTTCCAATATTAAAAGCTTCAGTGTTTTCCATTGCAATTAGGGTTATTTGTTTTATATATTCATAAAAGGACTATATAGGAAAATATATATAGGAAAACTTGATTTTTGAGATTAGATGAGGGAAAACCACACACCGGTTAGTCATAGGCACGGGCTAACGTTGCCACCTGCTGGAATAATTACAGTGTACTTTAACACTTATAATGTTTTATTCACTACACAGAGGCAGTAAAGTAACACTAATGATTGAATAACAAACGATGCCTTAAATGACAATTGGAAAATTCTAAGTATAAGTAGGTAAATGCAGGAATAGTACATTATATATTAACGCTCGATCAATGACTAATAAAACGTTCTTGCTGAACGATTTTATTCTTTCCAAGAAACTGGACTTCTTATTTCTAATTGAAACCTGGCAGCGCGATGGTGACTTTTCATCCTTCATCGAACTTTCCCCGAGTGGGTACTCCTTCATCAGCCAGTCTCGGACGTCGGGTCGAGGAGGAGGTGTCGCTGCGGTGTTTGTCGGACATTTGTCATCCTTTGAACTACAGCTGGTTAGAATTGGAAATAAAGATCCGTTTTACTGCGCTGTAGTGTGTGGCCTAAACAGTATGTTTTAAAGGAGTTCAGTGACTTTTTATCCTCGACTTTGAAGCATAGTCGGGGATTTTAATATATACTCTGACCTCTTTGCCAGAGGTTTCCTTAGCGTCATGGATTATTTTCATTTTACTCAGGATGTGTCCCACACACACCAAAGGACACACACTGGACCTTGTTTTTACTTTAGGTTTAAACATTGATTTTATTTGTACTGAGGACATTTTTATTTCGGACCATCGTTGTATTCTTTTTAACCTGTCTTTTCATCTGTCTCTCTCTCGACATGTGGTTAGCTCTCGCATCTTAAATTCCTCCACTGCTGTTAAATTTTCCGATGCCTTTAATTTAGTTTTATCTCCTTATAACGATGTTCATTTTGTAACAAATCTTTTTAATAATCATTGTCTTTCTATTTTAGACGTGGTTTGTCCTGTCAAAACTAGACTAGCTCAGGTTTCAAATTCGTCTCCCTGGATAAATGACAGCATTCGCTCCTTGAAGCGTTGCTGCCGTAAGGTTGAGCGTTTATGGAGGACAACGCGTTTGCATGTCAAGCTCCTTCATTTAAAGGACCTTTTAGTCTCTTTTAACACTTCAGTTCGAGATGCGAGGGCTGCCTATTTCTCAGACTTAGTGTCTAAGAGCAGGTAACTCCAAGGTACTATTCAACACCATTAGTGATATTGTTGCTCCTGCTCCACCTGCTGTCCCAATTATATCAAATGAAGATTGTGAAAAATTTCTTTCTTTCTTCGTTGAAAAAGTCAGTAACGTGAGGAACAATATCTCTCCTTCTGTGTCTCTCTTGTCTGCTCCAACTCAAGCTAGGCCTGTAATTTTAGAAAGATTTTACCTGTGTCCTTACCAGAGCTGGTCAAGTTAGTTAATTCGATGAAAGCGTCGTCCTGCTCTCTTGATATTTTACCTGGATCTTTGTTTAAAAATGTCTTTCAGTCTATTGGTCCCTGTGTGCTCACAATTATCAATACCTCACTGGTTTCTGGTCAGGTCCCTGTTTATTGTAAGAATGCTGTTATTCACCCACTGTTAAAAAAAAACTAAGCTTCTCTTCTTAGTAGCTACAGACCAATTTCAAAATTACCGTTCATTGCTAAGATTTTAGAAAAGGTTGTGGCTAAGCAGCTTATAGCTGTTCTAGATGAATACAGCATTCTGGATAAATTCCAATCTGGCTTTCGTAGAGCTCACTCTACTTAAACTACACTTCTTAGAGTCTCCAACGACATTTTGATGAGATGTGATGCAGGAGAATGCTCCGTTCTGTTGATGTTGGACCTGACTTCTACCTTTGATACTGTGGAACATCATATTCTGCTAGATAGGTTGAGACACTGGGTGGGTATATCAGGGGCTGCTTTGGACTGGTTTGAATCCTATTTGCATGAACGATCCTTTTCTGTGGCTACCTGTAAGTACAGTTCCTCTTCTACTTTTCTTGCCTATGGTGTGCCGCAAGGTTCAGTTTTGGGGCCTTTATTGTTCTTGCTGTATTTACTTCCTCTTCAACACTTATTGAGATTTTGTATCACTGCTATGCAGATGATATTCAGTTATATATCTCCTTTAAGCCCCATGATGTTTCCAAGCTACAGATTTTGCATAAGTGCATAGACGCCATTAGAGGTTGGATGGCTGGAAACTGTCTTCAACTAAATGAGGAGAAGACTGAAGTCCTTGTTTGTGCTCCAAATTTTGTACCTAGTGTTATGGAAAACTTGGGTCCAACTTGCTACATTTGCCAAACCGTCTATCAGGAACCTTGGTGTTACTATTGACTCAGCTCTGACTTTGGATGCCCATGTAAAATCTCTGGTTCGCTCCTGTTTTTATCACTTGAGAAACATTGCTAAGCTGAGTCCCATTGTATCGCGCTCCGAATTGGAAGTTGCCATTCATGCATTTGTTTCATCTCGTCTGGATTATTGTAATTCTTTGTTTACTTGTTTATGTAATGCCTCTTTGGAGCATCTGCAAGTTGTTCAGAATGCTGCTGCAGAGCTTCTGACCAAGTCCTCCAAGTACTCCCATGTCACACCCCTGCTGATTCAGCTGCACTGGCTCCCCGTTAAATTCAGAATCCACTTTAAGGTTTTGACCTTGACTTTCAGGGCTCTGCATAGACAAGCACCAACATATATAAGTGAACTTTTACATCCATACATTCCCAGCAGGTCCCTGAGGTCATGTGACCAGGGCTTGCTGGTTGTCCAACACAAGAGGCTGAAAACAAGAGGCGACAAAGCTTTTGTAACTGGCCCCCGGATTGTGGAACTCTCTCCCTTTGAGCCTGAAATCTGTGGACTCCGTGGTCGCTTTTAAAAAACAGCGAAAAACTCATCTTTTTAAACTTGCTTTTGGTTGATTTTTATTTTTAGGTTTTAGTTTCTGTGAAGCACTTTGTGATTTTTATCTTGAGAGGTGCTATATAAGTAAAATTTTACTTTACTTTTACGTTATATTTGAGCATGTTTGATTGTTATCATCTTTTAACAAACAGCAGTTATTTATTTGTTTTTATCAATACCTATCGCTTTGTACTATAACCGTGTAATAACGTTGGCGTATAACATTGGCGACTATTTTTCGAGGTATAGGATGTTAACGTCAGGCCGGTGTTTACAGTAATTAACGTTTCGACAGTTCCATCGATAGCCTGAATGCAGCACATGATTCAGGGTGTTGTATCCATAGTCTGCAGCACAGTGGCGCTGGCTCACCCCTCCCGCGGTGGAATTCTGTCCTCCACCCCCAACACCAACCCACAGCAACCTGATACCGGAGACGAGCGGTCCAGACAAGCCTGCAAACGAGGCGTTCCCAGCCGCCCTGTTCAGAACGAGAGATATCCATCTCCTCCCGCCGCCATCTGTCAGCGCCGGAGGAGTAGTCGCGGTGTACCGCACACCAGAAAAGCTCAGTATAGGCGCCACTGATTTATGAATTTTGTTTTCTTCTGCAAGGAAGCGCGAGAAATGAGACGGGACAGAGAAGTAACTGGCTTGGAATTAAGCTAGCGTCGGTTAGCAGTCAGCTTGCGACCTATCCGGGCTAAGTGGCTAATCTTTAAATGCCGAATTTATAGCTGTAAGTGTCCACGACTGGACATTTTTATAAAGGGTTAAAGCTGAGAATGGTTTGAAATCTAGACGAAAGAACTGAGTGCCTGATTTTTCGTGGTATTTACCCTCTTTGCCTAAGTTTTGTAGTACCAGACAGTAACCCCTGGCAGCTAGCATGTTAGCTAGCAGATATGGACGTTCCTCGCTGGCTAGTTGTGGATGGCAGATCCGCCAAACAAGTTAGCCGCTCGGCTCGTCTGTCCAGGCTGTGCTGGGGTCGGAAACGGGACTAACTTAACTTTCATTTGCACTTAACGATCGTGAACAAATCACCGACCCCAACCTAACAGCGTTACTTTTTTGCACAATTGCTCGATGTATTATTCCATGTCCGTGAGAGTAGTTCAAGTTATGACGTGAGGGAGAGGGTCTGAAAACAAAGTGGGAACTACAGAAGAAGTAAAAAGAAAACTCGGTGGACCTCTAACTACGAGACCAAAGTCAGTCAAGACTGTCATGGCTGTGGGCCGAATCACGATAAAGTCGCTGGCTGAATTTGGAATTTGCTTGGCGATTTTCCTGACTTCAGTGGCTGGTGAGTGTGTTACTGGTAAATAGATTTTTGGTTTGAGAGAAAATGTGCTCCTCATTAATATTTAATGCTTTCTTGTTGGTTTCTGCTTCTTTCTATACCTTCGCCATGGTGCAGATGTTTGAATATAAAACGATTTTCGTTTTTTGTTAATTGTATTTATTTATTTGTGTGTGTGTGTGTGTGTGTGTGTGTGTGTGTTTTGGCTGTGGTTAAAAAAATCCGAAAGACATTTGTTGCTCCCTGTGTTTGTGTGCGTCTGCCTCATCTGTTTGTTTTTTCTTCCCCCGCATCTTGTCTGGTTAGGTCTTTTCTGGAGTCTTCTATATCACTCATATCATTGAATGTAATAAAACATCATAGATATCTTCTCTTAAACACAGCAGCAAATTCACCCCTTGCTTATTTTAATCATTGGGTGTACAAAAGTGCTTAGAAAAACACTGCCAAACATACTGCAGCCATTGTCTGCCAAGTTGTGCCCCCTGTTCAAGACTTTGGGCTGAAGCCAGGCTTCTGTGAGACCTTGAGTGTGATAAGATAGTAGCAGAGCTGCACAGAGATAGTGGAGCAGTGTATGCAGGGAAAGGAGGAGAGAAGAGGGAGCAGGTGGAATGTGTGGGAAGGTATTTTAAAAGATGGGTGCTTTTGGTGAAGTTCAAGATTGTGCTCAGGCTCTGGCACCATGTTTGAAAATAGGGGGGTTTGTGTTGCCTGGTTTGCCCATCCCAGTGCGTGGGTGTGAATGTGTGTGCTTCTTAATAATGTATTATTATTTCTGTGAGTGTGTGTTATTGCCTAGGCTCCTCCATCCATTCATAGACAGGTTATTATCAGAAACCCACATTTAAAACTGCTGTTGCATAGGAAAGTATAAGAATGCATTTAGCAAAATTGGAATACACTGTGTGACTGTGTTCATATTTTAAAGCTGCCTGCGGATGGTGCCCTATTTGCATTTAGATGTGTATTTAACAGACAAGGTGGTTTTATAACATGACATTGAAGTCTGCTTTTTTAACTTATTGTGAGACCTATTGACTCGGGTTTGTACCTATCTAGTGGAGAAAAAGCATGATTCAATAGACAAACATTTCTTGAAGAGAGAGCCTTTCAGGTTGTGGCTAAAATCATTTACAGAGGTGCTTTAAAAAAAAAAGAGAAACAAAAAGCAAAATGTAAATTGTGGTCATGTCATTTGATATTTAATTAATACTTTACCTTCATGAGTGTGGCTTACTTGCGCCAACTGTCAGAAGATTGACATATTACTTCAGTAATCAACACAAGGGCAATTAATTGACGCTTATGTGTGTATGTGTGGTGTAAACGACCAATAAATCCAAATCGTTGGACTGTGCAAAATTAATTAGGACAGCAGTCAGAGAGAAAGAAGACAAACTGCTTGCTCTCTATGCTGTTGCTTTATGAATGCAAAGCAGACACATCCCGGTGCACCGATCTTGAGGTCATCCTTGGAACGATAAAGATGAGAAGCAGCACAGGGCTGTATATCTGGCAGAAGTGTTAGTCATCTCTCTGACTAAACGTCTTGCTTTTTTTTTTCCCTTTTTTTTTTCTCTTCCTCCTCCCGTTGTCCCCTTTTCATGACTTTTCTGTTACCTCTGTTCATGTCTGAATTCCCTCTGCTGCCATGTGTTTAACCTGTTTGCAGCTTGGCCTGGGTCGTCCTTTCGCTGACTGTCCATGGTGACTCGTCAGTATGTGGATGTGGGTGTAGGTGTATGCCTGCTGCTCCAATATGTCATGTAGAAACCGTTTCAAACATGGCAGAAACTTGCACACCATACCTGCAGTGCGACCACAGGCTTTCTTTGTAACAGGGCTTTTATTTACAGAGAATTCTTTCCAAGTAAGGCCTAAGTTGTAGCATATTCATGCTGAAAACCTGTGTGACAATTTAAAAATATAAAAAATTTTCACCACAGCCAAAAACTTAGTCTTCTACCAGGTAAGCTGGAGATTTGGGGGTCCAAAGAGGATTATAGTAGCACCAATATACTATAGAATAAAAGGCCTGCTCATTTGCTCCGCTTGCCCAAACCTAAAGACATTGTCTCGAGGGCCCCATACTGTGGCGTTGACAGACCTACTGTTCCCTAGCCTGGTCGCCCCTCTCTAGCCTTGCAAGGCCACGGCAGGTCTCTTGAATCTGTCAGCTTGGCCACATCAGTGGCTCAACAGAAAGTGAAGCTAGTGGCTCAAGATTACAGACTCCTGTTGGACTGTGGTGTGGTTGTTAGATGTGCGTCCTGGCCCACATTGTAGGCCATGGAATTCTTTTAGCCAGGTGTAAACTGCTGTGGATCCTTTGATTTGCTCATTCTTTTAAAATGCAAGTTTGGTTGGAAAACATGTAGAAGAGGATGGATCAGAATTATTTAAATATCACTCTCAATAAAATTTGAGGAATTTGTCTTGGTGGCAGAGAGGTGGCGAAGATGGCACAGAGAGTACTTTCCCTGAGTTACAGGCTGCACCTATCAAATATTTTTAGGACAGTTAAATGTTCTCAAAAATAGTTTCTGCTTATCTTTTGTTCGTTGAAAGCTTTTTGGGAGAATTAGTAATCCAAATAGTGGCTTATTATGATGCACACTAATATAATCAAACCAAGCTTTAGGAATGATTTAACTGTCTTTACTCAGTGTCAGCAGTGTGAAAAAATTACCCAAAGCCCACAAGCTCAAATTACCAAGCTGTGTCCACTTTGGCCCTCACCCTACACTGCTGAGTGTGCATTAAGCTCTCAGGATGTGATGCTGTACATCCTGAGAAGCAGAAGGATAGTAAACAGGAGGACAGTCACTCATGAAATGCTAAAATATCAGCCACGTAGAAGCAGAAATAATATTTACATAACTGGAACAGTGCAAATTAAAAGCTTAGGCTGGAGAAAAGCACTGGCCTCACTTTGATTCCATGATATTTTGGTTGGTCCTCGTCATTATTTTTTAAGATGTGATACTGACTGCAGATAGAAACCGACCAATGGATGCTGGAATGGGCAGGAGGTGGGAGGTCATTTGATCTCTAATACAGCCAGCGTTGTACTCTATTAGCTGAAAAAAATCAATGTATCTCTCTTCCAGTACCACTGGTTTAAGTTCTGGGCGGAGGTAAAAGCAGCAAGAGATACAATAGAGCAGTGTTTAACATGCTTCCGATTTGGCAAAAAGGAGAAATTAGCGGATGCTTTAGAAAACAAAAGGTGCAACCTTGAGATGGTAACTCAGAGTGACAGCCTATGATTAGTACGAGGCATTTTCCTTGACCAGTGCAGACAATACATCTAGAGTGTGCAAAAAGTGTTGTTCAGTGTGTGGATTAACAGTTCTGCTTGGGTTCGTGCGTACTTACATGAACAGAAGGTTTAAAAAGAAGGCAATCTGTTAACTGCCACTTATGTGGAATTTGCTGCAAATGTGTATCCTCCTCTTTGTAGGTTTTAAATCCTCAGACGTCAGTATTCCTCATGTCCACATTGACTTACAGTGATAGCTGCAACAGAATAAGTGCAGTTATTATGTTCCTTAAAATTAACATTTGGTAGGAAGTTAGACCAGATGTGCATTTAACAAAAGTAAGGGAAAAAGGCAGCAGAAATGAAGCAGGCCAGGTGATCAGATAAAGCACCTGATATTGGATTAATATTGGAATTCAGCTGGTAGTAATGTTTTAAAACCTGTATAAAATCTTGATTTTGTTCACCTTGACTTTTTAAAAAATTTTTTATATGAAATATCACACTTTCCAAAGCATGGTTGCTGTATTATTGATGGCAGAGTTTAACAGTATTAATTAACCTGATGGATAATTGAAAAAATGTGATTACCTTAATTTTTTTAAGTCGAAAATTCAAAAGTATGAAACATTCTTTACATTTCCAACAAGCATTCAGCATTTTTGTGGGGTAAAAAGTTAATGAAGTTACCTGGCTGGGACTATAGACAAAGCCTGTCACATGATGGCTTAAGCGGTCGTAGTCATTCATGTGCACTGCCTCTTCTTACATGAAAACCCCCCCAGATAATACAAATGACAGCGATGGTATCATAACGTACCTTTATTTACTGTGAGATTGAGTGTTGTTTCCACTTCTTTATTATTTTTTTCGTCTTCCTTTATTTATTTTATTTTTTTCAACTAAAGAGTATGTCTTAAATATATTAGTTGAATTGTTTTCCAACTACTGTTATTGGGTATTATCTTGCTACCTTTAGCCCCTAGGATAACAAAGGACATTAGCTAGTCCTAAGCTATTAGTCACTTGATTTATAGCCAATTATTTGATTTGTAGAGATAGATTGTAGCATTGGCTGTGGTAGCAGGCCTCTTGATGACAACCTTAGCTTAGCCTAAGGATTCTCTAGAAGTGTGTTATTCAAACATTTTAGTTGTAAGTAGGACACTGGGAATGCTTGTCATCATAGAGGAGGATCAGTTATGCTGTTCCAACTTGAGTAGAGAGGAATCTAGTGTTTTACTTTACTGTGATACTTTCTTTGCTACTTACATTTGGAACATCTCTGCTAGCTACCCAGCGCTAACCAGAGACCACCTCTCTGCAAAACAGTGTTGATAGGAATAATTGATGCCGCTGGGAAAAACAAAAAAAAAACTTTTGTAGTTTCTAAACTAGTTTTCACAATACCATTTAGCTGGTACAGCACTGATGCGAATCACAGTAAAGGGCAACTCAGGAAACCAAGAACATATGCATATAACATTCTTTATCAGCCCTGAGTTCAAACCACTTTAAAATACAGTACCAAATATATTTCAAAATGGCAGAAAATATGACTTATTGTAGCTTAAACTAGCGATGACTGTCCGCTCTTTGCATGGTAGCAGCATAATAAATTAACTACCAGAGTCATTGGCTTCCATTCTTTCTGTGACCTAATTGTTTCAGATCTTTTTATTGAGCTGAGATTTTAGTTGTGCAGAACATTACAGCACGTGTTAAATCTTAGAGAACA